CCAAAAAGTTTCACTCTCTATGGCCTGCCTTGGTGATTCGGTGCCCTGTTTTGACAATGAGGAGGCACTTTACCTGCTAACATTGGAGCTCGATACCCATGGGGAACTGGCAGGATTGTTTCTACCCAACCAAGATAAATTACATGAGCATTTCCCCCATCCAGTCTTTCCTTCATGAAGCTTCTACTGGCCAACACTATCTGATATGACGTTTTTTCTCACAGTGAATCTCCTCAGCACCTTTGCATGCCCCCTTGGCACCTGAGCACTCACACTTATTTACATACTGCCTTTGCACTGAGCCTGGCAGGTTCACATAGATGTGTATTTCTCGTCCAACTCTACTACCAGCTCCATGATGTAAGAAACATGCCTCTGATTCATCTTCATAGGAAAGAAATAGCATGTGACCAGGCAGTTACTGAATTTCCCCACAGCAAACAGGATGTGGGGAGTGGGAAGTGGGGCATGGGGAGAGGGTATGAGAGCTGTGCACATGGCTGATAACACATTTTCCAGGAAGATTCCTCTACAAAGGGAGGTGGAGAGACCTAGAAAGGTCTTAGCCCAATATTTTAAATGGTCCAATGAAAGACAGCAAGACCTAGGAAACAGGTGACCCAATAGTACTCACCCAATGAGGAACCAGGGGAAGGACTAAATAAATAGGCTATGTTTCCTGCCCCATGTGTGTGCCTGTACAATGGATGCCCACTCTTGGGAGTGTTATTAAAAATCTCATTTTTGCCATGTTTCTATTTCCCAGTCCATCATTTGAAAATTGGACAACTGAGCCATTTCTCACACATGATTAATGATCCTTCCTCTGCAGTAGTGACACCTCACATAATGTGCACACAGCAGGCGCTCAATAAGTGCTTGTTACATTTCATTTGCAGGGGAAAAAAGGAAAAAAAAAAACTTTTACTCCTTACACCTCTGCTATTGCGGGGTGGAGGAGCCCCTATCTATGCCAAAAATAGGTTGAAGTCTAACTCACTTCCAGAAAGGGAATGACATAATTTCCAAGAAGAAAAACTGTCTGATGAATAAACACTATTGGCTACATGCAACTTCCCACGATCTCATCAACTTTTTCTAGCCCGTTAAAAACTAGGTAACTAGGTTACATATGTTCACTGTACACATTCTGGTCCTATGAGGTCTTTCAAAAATCCGGCCTCACTAATCTTTCCTTCTTACTTTAAAATGACTGCAATAGAATATCAGGATTATTAAATGATGCAGAGCAAAGAGGATCATTGTTGTGGGTTTTTTTCCTTTTCCTAACATTTTCATTTACGTGCTAGTCATTATGCAAAACTCCTTATGCGATCTCACTTAACAGAAAAATAGTCCTCAGAATGCTGGTTTTTCTATTGATCCCATTTTATAGCTGAGAAACATTAGCGATTCAGAGAGGCTCAGTCACACAGCTGAGAACTGACCTAACAAACCAACTGCTGTTGCCCCCACCGCCCACATACACTCAAGGAGTCAGAAAGCTATGGCCTGAGGGCCGAATCCAGCCTACCGCACACTGGCATAAACAAACTTTTACTGGAACATAGCAGAGCTCATTTGTGTACACACTACAGCCTATGGCTGTTTTCTCCTTATGACAGCAGCGCTGAGTCATTGCGACAGAGACTGTATGGCCCATAGAACCTAAAATATTTACTATCTGGCTCTTTACAGAAAAAGTGTGCCCGGGCTACCCTGGCAAAGATAACATGTTGAAGTGTTAGCAATCTTCTAAAAGGCCCAACATGTTGTGCACAAAGTACTGAGCTGGCAACAATGAAGAAAAAAGAAAAAAAGAAGAATGAAAGCTTTCCCATGACCTTAAAAATCGAGAGTAGGAACAGTGCGAGTCATCTGCTGTCTGTTTCTGAATTATAAGTTGAGCCTGGCATTAGTAAATGCCTCATTACTCTAACTCCCATTTAGGAATAAATATACTCAGGATATTAGAAGTATTTATTGCTTGCAGAACTGTCTGGTAATAAAGAAATTGCCCCATCAGTCAAACAATAATAGAAGATTTATTGATTTCCTATGCAAAGTATTATACTTAGACCTAAACAAACTCAGGGAAGAAAGCACAAGTTCACCAAAAAGGACAGATGGGGATGGTAGTAGTGGTGCGAACCTTCCTTCATTCGAGCTCTTAAACGAGAGGAAGTTAGAAAGAGAGTCTACATTATCCCCAAATGTGTAATCACAGCATGTGCATAATAATGAGGTATGTGGCGCTGCTTTGCCTGCGATGAAGGCTGCGCTATAACTTTGCCCAGAACTCAATTCGTCATCATTTCCCCTTTAACAATTAGCCTCTCCTGTGTCATCTGTCTGTGAATGTCACCATCAAGACAAGGCTCAGTCTCCCTCTCTCCACTCACGCACCACATGTAATACCTACCGGAGTCCCTGCACCAAAGGCCTTCCTCTCCTTCTATTTCTTTTTTCTTTTTCTTTTTTTCTTTTTTTTTAATGATAGACTCATACTTCTTTTTTACACACACACACACACACACACACACACACACACATATATAATTGATTTTTTACAGAGAAAAAGGGAGAGGGATAGAGAGTTAGAAACATCAATGAGAGAGAAACATCGATCAGCTGCCTCCTGCACACCCCCTACTGGAGATGTGCCGGCAACCAATGTACATACCCTTGATCAGAATCGAACCTGGGACCTTTCAGTCCACAGGCCAATGCTCTATCCACTGAGCCAAACTGGTTTCAGCTCTCCTTCTATTTCTGTGGCCTTTAAGCTCCTTAAGGCCCCCATTCTTCCTGGCTTATCCAAGCCAGTCTGCAGGTCCCATTGCATCCCATTTCAGTTCCTATGGGCCACACGTAATCTTCTAGAAGTGTCTAGTTTCCCATTCACACACCTTCCTGACTCCTCAGGGGCTACCAATTAAGGAAAACCCTTGACCCTGTGAGTTCAAGGAACGCCAGCTAAAGCTAGTAGTCACCCACTAGGACCATTCGTGTCAGTAAGGCCTCTGGAGAACTTAGGGGAGGGACAGAAGCTGCAGCTCACACTGACCAGCCTGTACCCCGGGCAGGGCCAGCTGTGTGCAGTCCACTGGCACGAATGGTCTCTGGCCTCCCATCAAAGGACTAGCACATCCCCCGTGCCAAGGAGGGCATGGAGGCCGAGAGGACAGGGCATGGCGGCGGGGCAGACATTCAAACCGAGGCTGCGGACAGCAGGGGCTCTGTCCGAGTCACGTCCCTGCCTCTGCCACTTTGGATTACTTCATACTTGGCACTGCTTGGAAGTGACTTTTAGAGAATTAAACCTAGAATTATATTGCTATACTTCCCTTCCAAGATTGAAAACTCCTGGCGGGGAGGGGGTCTAGTTTCCTTCATCTGGAAACCTCCTCTAATACCCAGCCTGGTGCCCAGCTGGAGCGAAATGAAGAACAAAAGGCCATTCCCTCCTCCAGGAAGCGTCAGGGAGGAATGGGAAAGAAAAGTCGGCTCAGAAAATACATCAACAGAATACCCCCAAGGGGGTCTTTTTTTGTGGTTTGTTTAGCCCCTAACATATATTCATCAGGACTTCCTGAAAATAATTTTGAGGAAACAAAGACCATGAAGAATTAGCTGCCAGATTTGGAATGGTGTGTTTCTGGGGAAGAGGGGGAGGAATGGCCACATAGAGCGACCAGATTTCCCAGAGACTAATTCATTTTCCTCCGAGAAAGAGCTAAAGCAGCCACCTTCCACCAGGGCTGCCCATTAGAATCGCCTGGGGAGGCTTTACAAATCGGATGGCCAAGCCACTCTCAGACCAGGGAAACCCAACTCTGGGGTTGAGCCCAGGTCTCTGGGGGAGAAAGGGGTGTTTTAGTTTCCCAAGGGCTTCAAAAGTGCAGCAAAAAACGGCTGGAGTGAAGGAACTGGGATTGGAATCCTGGCTACACTAATTTCTAACTCTGGCCTTGGGTGAGATACTCCCCATGCATCCTTGTTCTGCAGCCCCACACAGTCCCTTAACCAGCTAAAACGACCTCAGCTCAGTTCGCACCCACGAGGCTGTTAAAAGAGTAATCCTAAGAGTACTTACCTTCACCGGGTTATTTTCAGCACTGAAAACATCTAAGCTCTTAGAGCAGTGTCCAGCACAGGGAAGGCACTCACTGCATGCTAGTTATTTTTACCCTCAAAGGTATAAAGGGTTTACAATACACACCTCACAAGCCAAGGACTCAATACAAAGAACTTGATATGAAAAATGCTTAATAAATGGCACTCTTCTTTCCCATTCTTACATCCCACTCACAATTATCTCTGATGGAACTTGAGGGCCCTCAGGCTAGAGAATCCTGGCTCTCTGACACTTACCTAGGGTTGCCAGGTAAAACACAGGGGCACACTTCAGTATTTAAAAAGTGTTCACCGTGTATCTGAAATTCAAGTGTGCCTGCCCACCCTGTATTGGTTAAATCGGACAACCCAATGTTTACCTGTCACTTAAATTTAGGCTAAAACCGAGGCTGCAGAGATCCTAATATAGACATGCGTCCCAGTATCTGAGACCTTTACCACCCCTCTGCTCCCTGGCAGCTAAAAGACGTGTTTGCTACAATTTATAAGCAAGCAGCCAGCTCCCCGACATCAAGCAAGTCAGTTAGTTGTGCAGAGGAACAAAACTCAGGAGGAAACAATTCAAAAACAAAGAAGGGGGAGGAAAGCTTTCCTAACCTCACCCCTCTTTTGCAGTCACTCCCCTGAAACATAGATCTGCACAGAAACCCTGGCCTCCAGGTGGAACAGGCTTCAACCACCCCACGGGGCCCAGGCGTCACTATACATTATTCAGCCCCATCAATAATGCAGCACCGAACCCAAAGCCAGCCTTTGAAGGTTCTATGCCTTTGCAGGTCTCTAAGATGCCACGTGTTTTCTTTTTAGTTTTGTTTTAACCCTCCCTTTACAAAAAATAAAAATAAAGGAAGTTTTTGTTTTGTTTTGTTTTTTTCTTTTCAAGCAATAAGCAATGTTTCCCCTTAGAAGAAAGGCAGCAAACACAGACCACCCAGAACAACAACTTCCTTGAATCTCATTTCATAAGGTATGCATGCTGAGTACCCGAGCGAGGTCCCCGGGGGAATGTTTGGTTCCGAACGGTGTTGTCCACTATGATGGGGGCGTATGTGCAAAAAATGGAAGATGAAAACACTACAGGAGAAGTTAAGAAGCATGAAGAGCCAATGAGTCAGCTTGTTCCGTAAGAGCTGAATTAAATCAAGCACCAGATTGTTCATTGATTAGCGCAACCAGAGAAAACTCGGCCGCAAAGGCACGTTTTCCAGTTCACTTGGCTAATCCCTTCTGAACAAGAATCCGAAGAATGAATACTATTCAGCCAATGGAAAGCTGCACAAATTAATCTCGCCGAGCACCGTGCTGGCAGCTGAACACAATCTATAAAATAATTCCAGACGATCATAAGCCAATAAGAAGAACTAAAGCTGTTATCCACTCTTCCAAAATATATTTTTTTTAAATACAAGCTATAAAAGGTTCAAATGACACCCCCACCACTTTACAGTCAACTGCTTCAGGCTGGAAGGTCATGTGAAAATATTTTTTAAAAGGAGAAAGGTAAGAAAGTAGAGCTTTAAAAAACAACAACAACAACAACAACAACAACAAAAACTTTAAGAAACATAAAAGGCCAACTAGGCACATCATTCATCAATGCAGGCAAATCTCACATTAAAGCCCAAACTGTAATGAGTACACAGCACCAGCATGACCACCCCATTTGCTTAGGTGAGTGACCATATAGACGAATAATCTAAATGAGTCTAAAACAGGTTGATTAGACTTATTCTGCAAACAGATGAGATTAACTCATTTCACTGGACAAGCAGCAGATTCAGAGAGGGACCCACAAGGTCCAGAATCCAGTTACTGGCAAAGTTCCGACCTCGCAAGGTGGTGAACAATACACCGTGCGGGGACAGCCCAAAGAGAGGGGGCCAGGAGGACAAGAAACACCCTATTCAGGGCGCCTCGTCCCTCTCGCAGCCTATTTGAATGCTGCTCTTATGAGGCTGCCAGCTTTGAAGGTAATAAAAGAGGGGGGAAATATGTGTAACTCATGTCCAAAAGAAGGGAGTTCTCTGTTTGCCGTGCTCGCTAAGAGACAGAGGGAGACCTTGCCAGAGAGCCTTCATCTTCACGGGAAGCTTTGTATTTCTTTTTGGCCACTGGGCTGGCAGTTTATTAAGCACCCACGTGGGCTGGACCAGAGGTGTGTGAGGGGAAAAAACACAGCCCTGCAGGGGGAGCTGGCCACGTGATGGCAGGACCCCCTCGCTGTGTGCACAGAGCTCAGTGTCACGTGTGAAACCCGCCACCACAGGTCAGTGCTCCAGGTTTCTCTCGCCCAGCAGTTCCTCCCAAGGTCCACCTACCGCCGTCCGCCTGGTTGTGCTTTTCATTCAAGGTCAAGACCAATGCTGCCTACTTACTCACCTCAAGGTGAAACCCTCGGGGCTGAACACACTAGCCCTGGGAGGGAATGACAGACACTGAATGAAGGAAGGAGGGGGCTGGGAGTGTGAAGGGAGCTCCTAGTTCTTCAGTGACGGTCAGGGCTTGAAAAGGGCATTTTCTGTTATTATTTCAGATTATCCCACTTTAGGCATACATCGATGGTATACCTATAGAAAGTATTAGATATAGTATGTCTTATGTTATTACATTTTTGTCCTCACCACTTTGCCCTGAAGTAGAACAACCTGTAATCCTTGCACCTTTGAGGAAATCACTCTTTCGCTTACTGATAGTTTGCAAGTCTCGGCCTGCCTCCCACCTGGGGGAAGCAAACTTTTTGGTTAGGAACCAGAGAGGAGACATTCCAAGCTTTGTGGACAGTCAGGGTCTATTGCAATGACTCAACTCTGCCACTGTGCGGGGAGATCAGCCAGAGATAAGAAGTAAATGAATGAATGCGGCTGGGTTCTAATACAACTTTATTGATGGACACTGACATTTGAATTTCCTATCATTTTCACATGAATAAACAGTCTTCTCTATTTTTTTTTAACCATTACAAAATGTGAAAACCATCCTTAGCCCAGAGGCTCTACAGCATTCATAGATAACATTTCCATGAATTCTGAAGCGTGTAAAGAGGAGGGAAGATTATGCTACTCTACAAATTTGATGGGAGAATGTTCTGTGTTGCTTCATGTTATTTAAACAGTCATTCCCAGCTCATAAGCCAAGCATCTTCTCCCTCACACCACACAGAAAGAATGTGAAGAAACTCCTGCCATCAACACGGGCAGAGAAAGAATAAAGCATGCATTACAGCCACAATTAAGTAAAATGAACTCAGTTCACACGTTAGCATGTAGTTTTGAGATCGGTCCTTTTTGAAATCTCTGAAGCACCCTATAAATTCAGTTTGCTTCCTGGGCACAATTGCCTCTCAGTGATTCTGGAGAGAAAAGAAGAGTACATAAAACCAGCTGAAAAATCACAAAAGTAGGAGATGAATAGATTGGGCAGGGAAAACACATGAAGTAAAGGGAAGGTGACCCTGGCCAGAGATGAAAGACATATGACAGTATGAATACCTTTCCCAATTAGCAATGGAGGGCTGATTTCCCGATTTCAGAATATGGCGCAAATTTAGCAACTAATCCATGTCATTTTCCCCCGTTACTTTCCCCAGAGTGCTGATCGGTTGCTGCAGGTAAACCCCTGTCAGCTCTCCACACGATATGAGCAGCATCAGTAAGATCAATCATGCACTAAATGGATCCTGAAAAGCTACTGTGTCTTCTGACTTTCTTCTCCACATGGCTGGCTTGCTATATTCTGATCTCCAATCCCGACATAAAGTGTAATCACATTCTGAGGTCGCACTGGCCTTCGGAAAGGGGAATGGCCATGCTTGGAGGGGGTGGGGGAGAGCTAAGGGAAGCGAGGTGTGGGAGCATTTCTAAGTGTCAGAAACATCTCTGAGAGTCATAAAGAAACTAGACTTCCAGCTGGGAGGCTCCGCCCTCTCCGTGTCTTTCTACATCAAGGTCATATGTGATTCATGTCAACCAACCCTTACCATTGTCCAACCGATAACAAGGAAAGGGAGAACAAGTGCAAATGAGCAAAACTGAGGCCACTCGTGATTTAGAGGTGAAGGCACACACCACACTGGCCAGTAGGTATCATCTTGTTTATCCTTGGTCAATCAGTCTGAAATGTTTAGGAGAGACTATCCAAAAAAAAAAAAAAAATCCTCAGGGCATTTCCTCCTAATAGGGGCATCAATATTTCTGAATGATAAGACGTGGATACACAATCTTGCTTTTATTTCACTATATGGGGGGTTGGATGTGGCTTACTTGTATTTCTTTTGTTTTTCTCATTTGAATATTGCCTGAGCTGCGATAAACTTAGGAAAAGTGTCACATGAACCTGAATCATCGGGAGGATTTTACATGCTTTTAAGACAACAGGGCTAACGTAAACATTGTCCTCACAGGAGGGCATGTGAGGCCACAGAACAAGCTTCATCTCTTTGAGGGGAAAAAAATAAAAAAATAAAAATCGTTAAACCCTGTTTAGTATTCACCTCTCTCCAAAGGAAGTACTAGCCCAAATGATTGTCCCCGTGTTTTGGAACATTTCAAAGGATGCTCCACAGCAGCTCGGATGCCTGAGATTAGATGAGTAAAGAAAGGAAGAAGCAAATGTGATTCAACAGCTTCTATGGGGAGAGAGGAGGCCCATCTGTCTGCAAGTGAAGACAACACAAGGGCTTAAAAATAAACCTGCCTTCCTCGGGGACCTGGCTCCCGCCCCAGGGCACCTCCTTTGTGCCTCTGGAATCTGAGGAATTTGGGAGAGAACCCTGGGCCGCTGCCCTGTTAGGGCATCCCTCTGTGACTTTGGGACACAATGAGGCCAGCTGCCACTCACAACATTGATAAGCCACTGCATCCGTCATCCCGCCAGGCTCTCTCTCTGGGGTGGCAGGGAGGAACTTCTCGTTTGTTGAAGCCTGACACGTCCCTAATAGCATCTGCAAAGCTGCCTCTGAAACAAGTGTGTTGCAGGAGCAACAGACGGCTTCGAGTGGAAAATGGTCACCTCCGGTCTCCAGGATCACTGCAAAGATCCGTTGGAATGAAGGCCCTTTCTGAGCCTCTCACGGTCTGCTGTTGTGTCTGGCACAGGTTTCAGTTCCAGAAAGATGGAGATTTCCCTGAGGCCAGGGCCACTTGCCGAAATTCCTATACAGCACACAGCCATCCTTCTGGCCAACAGCCCCTCCACGGGCTGGACCCATCGTCTCTCTGCTCCGCTCCAGGGCACCTGGCTCTGACTTACATAATCACACAAGGACCTCTCCGTGGGCTCGGGGAAGAGGAAGAACCAGCTGGAGACAAAGTGCCGTTTTCCACATTTATCTTTCAATATCTTCATTTCAGACTAATTTGTTAACAGGTCTTTTCAAAAGATGGGCACTTCAAAAATCAACTCAAGATCGCTAGAGGAGGAAGAGTTCCTTGTTTTCCCACTGGCAGCTTTCAAAGTCCTCTGAGGAAAGGAGGAAAGGCTGGTTTCCTTTCAGCAAGTAATTAATGGTTTCGGTTACCATTTAATGTATTTACTCTCACAACAGCCCTATTGGTAGGCACTGTAATTGTGCCCACTTTACAGATAAGGGAACTGAAGTACAAATAGGTTATTTTGCCAAAGGCCAGGTAGCCTGGAAGTGGGGAAACCAGGATATGAATCAGTTCTGACTCCTGATCAAAGCTCTGCACCACTCCACTCCGCTAACCCTCCACAACTGCCCGGACAGCTCATTTCGTTACTGTGCCAGCTCCAGTCCTTTCTCCCTCCCAACCAGGAAAACATTGCCCTCCGCCAAGCTGCTGTGACCATGGGGGTGGTGGTCCTCGGGGACACCTGACAGGCTAGAGATATTGGAAAGGGATGCCATCAGGTTGGCGGAGGCCAGTGATGTAGCTGAACATCTTGCCAGGCACAGGACAAGCCACCCCCCTCAAAGAGCAGTCAGACTAAAATGTCAATAATGTCAGACTCAGAGAAGTGCTCGCAGACACAGATCTTCCCTCCACTCCTTCTGACTAACTGCAACCAAAACTATCTCGGAACCCATCTGCAGACAGTCCCATCTCTGCACTTTCACTCAGCTCATTCCACATCATCTGACTCCCACACAGGCTTCAAAGGGTATTTCAAGTGGAGTTCACACGAGAAGACCCGTCCACAGCAATCGTTTCCCCTCCTTTCAGATAAAGGAGTGGCACAGCTGATAATAAAGATCACTGCCGTTGCATTGCTACCATGTGCCCCATACTTGGGCCAAGCATTTGATATATATTTATATCCTTAGGACAACCTTGAAATAAAGATAAGTTATCTCCGTTTTCCCCAGGACAAAACTGAAGCCAACACCAGGTAAGGGAGTTCAAAGGCTTCAGCCCAAAGAAGTGGGAGAGCCAGGACTCAAGTCCCGATCCAACTGATTCCCACGCTCAGGCTCTTTGTGAATAGGTCCCCTTGCCAAGCACAGGTCCGGCATTTCCTGTCTTATGCAGCTCTCAGAAACCCCAAAGTACTTCGCAGAAGGTCCAATAGGCACCGGCTGGCAGATGGATCCCACAAGGACGGCTCTCTGGGATTCAGGGGCCACTCTGTGAATGAGGTTCCCACTGCACAAATGTCTCTGTTACCACCCCACACGTAAACACATCCTTCTCTCTGCTTTCCCCTACTGCACATACGTATTTTTTATTTAAAAACTTCAATGTTGACATTATTCCAGGTGTTCCCCTTTGCTCCCTCACTCCCTCCTCCCTTGGTCTGAACCAAACTATTGTCCGTGTTCCTGGGGCATGCATACCTATTTTAACAGCTTTAGGGTGGTACAACAGACACACACTAAGCTGCACATTTTTAATTGGTGCACTTTGATTATGTCTGTGCATGAAACCATCGCCAAAATCAAGTTAACAATATAGCCATCACCCTTAAAAGTTTCTTCACGGTCCTGTCTTTACCACCACCCCCAACCATTCTCAGACAACCACAGATCGGCGCTTTGCCATTATAAATTAATTTGCATCTCCCAGAATTTTATGTAAATGGCACCATCTAGCACATATGCTTCTCCACTTGCCATCACTCCCCACCTCCCTCGGGTTCTTTCATTTAATATATTTTGAGACTCACCCATGTGAGTGTGTATCCACAGTTCATTCCCTATTATTGGATATCATTCCATTGTATGGCTATGCCAGTGGTCGGCAAACTCATTAGTCAACAGAGTGGCAAACTGCAGCTCACCATACCAGTGGTTGGCAAACTGCGGCTCGAGACCAAGCTGTGGTTTGCCATTCTGTTGACTAATGAGTTTGCCAACCACTAACATAGCCTATCTAATTTCAATGGTGAGAGACAAGTCTAGTTTATGGCTATTAGAAATAAACTTGCTCTGAACATATGTGTACCAGTCACCACTCCCTTTTAAATTCACCTGCATCCACAGAAAAATTTGCCAGATCATGCAATTGGGTTTGGTTTTGAGCCTCTTCTCCAGCATGAAGAAATGTAGATCAGAAACGAAACTTTGTTCTCTTACTGAGCGCATGGTGCAGAAAAAGGAGCATGTTCTTCTAGGACAGATGGCCTGTCATTTATTTTTATTTTTTTTAATATATTTTATTGATTGATTTTTTTTTTTTGATTTTTTTTTTTTTTTTTTTTTACAGAGAGGAAGGGAGAGGGATAGAGAGTTAGAAAAATCGATGAGAGAGAAGCATTGATCAGCTGCCTCTTGCACACCCCCTACTGGGGATGTGCCCGCAACCAAGGTACATGCCCTTGACCGGAATCAAACCCGGGACCTTTCAGTCCGCAGACCAATGCTCTATCCACTGAGCCAAACTGGTTTCAGCTGGCCTGTCATTTAGACCCACTCCTTAGTAATATTTTAATCTTATTTCACTTTCCTTAGGTATAAAATCAAGATAATTAAATCTCCTTCCTAAAGACTACTGTAAAGATTAAATGATAATAATACTCCACACACAACTGTAACCCTATGCACAAAGTATAAGTGTTCTGTAAATGCAGGCTATGATGACTGTTAATGTAAATATCTATTGTGAAAAATGACTACGCCTCATTATGTCCTCCAACAGAAATTGCTATTATTTCTGCCAAATTTCTCCATGCTGATTTCACTTTAAGTGATCACTTTACCACTTCAAAATCAGACAGCAAACAAAAGACAATCAAACACAATGCTTCTCAAGCCTTATTGAAACAATTCTTGCCTTTGGGGGGGAATTTTTTTGATAAAAATCTCAGAAGCATTGACAAGTTCTGCCTGAAAACACATCAAATAATATAAGCTTTTCTCCCAGGTCTTAAGGGATAGAACTAGTGAGGACATGTTGCAACCTTCTAACTGGCAGCTCGCCGTGAGTCACCTGTTGATTCATTCATTCATCAGAGAGAAGGAAATGAATGGACTCGGTGAAATCAACGAGTTTCCAGGAAGAATGTGATAAATGTTCCTTGTTCTGGTTTATTTACCCACCCCCACCCACCTCCATCTATCAACCCCGAGCATCCACCCTCCCACCTACACGTGTGCAGGCAAGTCTGAAAACGGTGTGTTCGGAAGAGAGTTGGCCCCAGGGTGAAGCAGAAGCCTGTGTAATCTGAGCCTGGGTGACCATCTGCGAGCAAGGCCAAGAAGGGATATGACAGGCGCACCAGCTAGACATCTCTGGAATCCAAGCAGTAGGCCAGGGCAGACTGTCAAGGGTTCCACCAGAAAAGTGAGCCTGCAGGGGAACTGGTGTTTGTTTCCAACCTTGGCTGGGAATGAAGTGCCCGGTGGGCTTGGCAGGTGTCGCTGGAGAGCTCAAGAGGCCAACTCCTCAGCGTGGAAAAGAGCTCCTCAGAATGAGAGCCAACTATTCCACTGTTAGCCAACAGCCCTGAGGGTGACTCGGTTTCCCCAAAACGGGCCCGGGTTGCACAGCAGGAACATCCCCAAGGATGCTCTTCTTTGTAATGACTGTGTGCAAAGAGCAGGATAGCTTAACAACGCAGACAGGGTGGAGAGGCCAGTCTATTCTACCACCCCAGATCCCTGTCTTCTCTAAACAGCCTTTCCCAACCTCTGTGACTAGGTTCCAAGTTCCTGCTCCCATAACCCATTTAAGTACCCCCCCACCCCCACCATTTACCACAGTAATTAATGTATATACTTGTTTGCCTAACCTTTTGATTACTATCTGTTCCCCCATCTACAGGGTAACCTCCAACTCAGCTTTTTGCTCACCCCCTTATCCTCAGTACTCAGCCCAATGCCTGAGGAACATAATAGGTGCTTAGTAAATATATGCTAAATTAATGAATGGGATGGGTGGAATTCAGGAATGTCCCACTTCCATTCTTTTGTCCTGCCTCTGGGCCAAGACTAAATAGGCAATCTTCCCATTGCATACCTAGGATGGCCAAGCTCCCAGGAGTTCAATGAATTCCTGCTCGCTTTGAAAAAAAAAAAATCAAAACAATCTGCACCTGAGCAAACTGCTTTCTCTGCCCAGAATGTTTAGTTGCTTCAGGAGAATATTCCTCGATAATAATATATCTCTCAACACTTCTACACCACAACACTTCCCAACCCACACCTGTAGAGACACAAATACACACCAGAAACAGACAATGTAAGGAGGGAAAATGGAGTTTGGTCACTTTTGTGGCAAGAAAAACTTCCTAACAGGCATCTACCAATTTGATAGCATGAGATTAAGGTTTAGTTGCAGCCTTAGGAAATAAGAAGGAAAAACCTGTATCTGTGCTCTAGGACATCCAGATTAATGTTCTGAGCTTGGAAAGTAATTTACCTTATCTTGCTCAGCCGTCCTATTACCCACCAGTCCAGAAGTAGAAGTAACCAACATTACAATAAATAGTTGAAGTATTACCTAAAAGCACTTCACACTTTGGGGGAAATGGCCAGCTTCAGCCATAAACTTGCAAATATGTTTCCCTTCATTGCTTCTAAAAAGAGCTCCATAGTCAGGCACAGGTGGAGGGAAGTACATAGCAGGAGTTCTTATTTATCTCAGCATTTCCTCATATGGGGAGAGACCAATTATCTCAGTAACTGGTTGAAAAGAGACAGACATCTAAGCCCAGTGTGAGTTTATCTGGTGTGAGAACTCCCAGAACTAAAACTGCTTTCTAAAGAGGACCGCTGTATCTAGTTGATACAAAATACTTTTAACACGAGATGGGTCAAAATCCCGTAAAATTTTCCATTGAAAATCTGTTGATGCAGGTTAGATAAATAGGCGATACATAAATTCAGATATATTTACATGTATCAGTGTGAACAGATATAGGTATGTATGCTTGATAGATGGGCATGTACGTGTGACTGGCTGATATCAAGCTGCACTGATTCTAAACGCACTAACAAAGCACCTATGTACTTTAGCCTGGCCAAGGCAGGATTCCCAAACCCTGTTATTTCAGTCCCATGATTCGGAGTGGGAAGAAGTCTTTTAAGGGCAGAGGAGAGAATCCAGGAATTCTCAGTAGCACAGTCCAGCGGATGCAGCCAATCTTGTTCACTGGGTATACTGATGGTACTACTGTCAACGCGGTTGGCTGGGAACTCCTGTTTAACAGAAGACCCTTGCCCCTGTGGATCAGTCACAGCTGGTCATATGAAGAGCTGTGTCAGATATGGAAAAGTAGAAGTGAAGTCCAGTCCGTAACTGTAAGGAAGTCAATGGACAAGTGGAAAGTGCCCAGTGAGTCTCCACTTGTCCTTGCCTTACTTAGCTCTCACCCCTTGTCTTCACAATTAGTGACCCTGATGACCAACAGTAGCCCCAGCCCACTGCTAGACACTTGATTACTGACTCTAGACGTGGAAACATACCTCTCCTGTGCTTCCCCTTCTGGTACCTATTTGGTGGCTTCCAGGGAGACATCCTCTCATCCTCTGACTCCTCATCCCCCTCTTCCCTCTCTGTAAGACCTTCATTCCCCAGCCCCTCTCATATTTAAGGAAGACCCAATTTCTACAGTAAATCCCTTAATCCCATCACACTCACAATGATTCTACTTCTTTGACTAAAAGTTGGCTTATCAATGGAATAACACAGAGAGTAGACCTCAGTTCGTAGCCCCTGTGCATACATGCTACTGCTTCACTTAGGAAATCCCTTGCAATTTCAGACAACTGGACACAGGGACCGAAAACTATTCATTCAAGAACATACTTCTACAGTCCCATCCATCACAGCAAATATTACCAACCTGCAGATGGCACTACCGAGCACCATGGGCCCCAAGACAGCAACATTTCCTGTATTTTGCTAGGTGAACAAACTACTGAGTATGATGAATAAGTAACTTGCGTTTGTGAGTTATGATCTTACCCCCAAAAATAAAATAAATCCCAGATTCCATTTAGTGAACTACCAATAAATCCATTTATCAACATGCCTTAAACCAGAGGTCACAAACTAGGTTCCTGCAAGCTGATTTTGGCTAACAGGCATGTTGGCTTTGGCCCTCAAAAAGTCTGAATTGGTCCCGGTGTTTGAGAGATGGGAGATCCCCAAAAAAATTCACATTTCCAACTCCTCTGGGAAGACCTGAGGATCTTGCCCACCTCCTGCCCAGCCCCGCTGTCCAACACAGGAAAGTTCCACTGCCCTCCACCCACAAGACCTGCTTGGGTCCTGAGAGCACTGGGGATGGCAACCACCAAGCTGTGTTCTCAGGGGCCTCCAAGGCTAACTGGAAGGGGTGCACTTTGTGTGATATTTGAGTTGCCTCATCAGCTTGACCCTAGGATGTTTCTCAGCTGGTGGCTGTGGTACTGAATCGCCTCTGCTGATAAGGGCCCTTTAGATTTGGGGTTCTTGGAAAAGCCTGCATTAACCTGTCACATAGCCCTCAGGTTAAAGGAGAGGCAATTAAGTGCATACCTTGCTCTGGCCAGTGGTACTCAATGGTTAAGAGTGCCAGCCTGTGCATCAAAGGCTCTGGGGTTCAACTCCCGGACAAGGGGATGTACCTGTGATGCAGGTTTGATCCCTGGCTCCCAGTCTAGGCATGTGAGGGAGGCAATCGGTCAATGTCTGCCCCTCTCTCTCTTTCCTCTCTCTCTGTTTCTCTCTCATGTCACCTCTCCTCCTCCCCCTCCTTTCCACTCTCTCTGAAAAGCAATGGGGAAAATATCCTCAGGTGAGGAGTAACCGAAAAAGAAGGACATACCTTCAGCCATTTAAGGACTGCATCAACACGTCCAAGAACAAGCTGGAATACCAAGCAGCTGGGCTGCTCGGGGTGAAAATCACACCCCCAGAGCCTTCCTCGAGAAGAGCAGTGTGAGGAATGTACAGGTAGTTCTGCTTTCTATTACTAAAGACACTGCCTAGCATAATTTCTCTTTCTTGACATCATGAGGTGAGAGGAAAAGCAGAAATGCTGCACACAGGATGTTCTCAAGGGAAAGTGACATGCCTGAACCTGAAAGGAGGAAGCAGCAACATCACAGACACACACACTAAGTCAGGGTCTGTGAAGCTGATGAGGCAATTCAAATATCACACAAAGTGCACCCCTTCCAGTTAGCCTTGGAGGCCCCTGAGAACACAGCTTGGTGGTTGCCATCCCCAGTGCTCTCAGGACCCAAGGGGGGGTTGCCTCCCACAGGACCACGGAGGCTGGAGAGCAAGCCAAGGGGGGTGGGGGGGGGAGTGGGGAAGGACCACTTCCCTCCTCACTGCACTAGTTTCTCATCGGAAATCAGTCACTATAAGACCACTGTAGTGAGAATGAAGGAAATGCTGCATGCAAAGCACTTGGCAGGGGGCTGGTAACACCTATTCAATAGAAGCTCAAATTACTGTTATTGTTTTGCTATTATCAACAAAGGCAATTCATGCCCAAAGTAAAAGCACATTCAACTGAAACAGGGAAGGGGATTCCTCTGGCAGCCACTGCAGTGCAAGGGAGATGTTTGTAAATCAGTCTTTTAAGTTGGGAGTGGTATGTGATGCCGTTTGAAGTTTGTTTGTGTTTTGTTTGACTCAAGAGTAACCAGCAAATACATTTCCTAGGAAATGTGCTAATAAAATTGTTCATCTGTGTAGAACCATGGTGTGGCTCATTACACACCAAAAACCATTTCATAACCCACAAAGGTCAATACCCCAAGCTTTCTATCCAAATGTTCAAACATAAAATAAGATATATCCCTCATGGCTGCCTTAGCACACTCTGGGGTGAGGGGCAGAATTGGCTAGGTTTTTGGGATAGTCTGAAAAGCGCTTTGTTCAACGTGAACCTCAAGATTCCCCACAAGCTAAGTAAAACACATGTATAGTTAGTTGGTCAGCCAAATAACATTCTAGGATTTTTTTTTTAAATCCTCACCCAAGGGGTTTTTTTTTTTTTTGGTTTTTTTTTAGAGATTTAGAGCAGAAGGGAAAAGGAAGGGAGGGAATTGGAAGAAAAGGAGAGAGATAGATAGATAGAGAGAGAGAGAGAGAGAGAGAGAGAGATCAATATGGAAGAGACACGTTGATTGGTTGCCTCCCACAGGACCACGGAGGCTGGAGAGCAAGCCTATAACCAAGGTATGTGCCCTTGACCAGGAATTGAACCCGAGATCCTTTGGTCTGTGGGCCTACACTCTAACCACTAAACAAAACCAGTCGGAGTACATTCAAGATTTTAAAAGCACAGGCTGGTTTCAAGAAAAAAGTCCAAGAAACTGAGAGTTGTTCATCTACGCAGAAGATTTGCAGATCAAACTGTATTTCCATCACGTGTTCCTCACGATACATTAATAGCAGGGATGTTGTCCCCATTTTTTAGGATAAGAATCTGAATAACTAGGTAAAATGATAAAACACTCAAAATTTTTAAATTTCAAAACTCCAAACTATGACGATCTTGATAAAGAAATGCCACAGGAAGCTCAGGGAGGAAAAGGGCTTGTTGGAGCAGAGCTTGGTTATAAACACAAAGGAGACACCCGCTGCCCAGCAGCATTCATTCACTTTCAGAGGTTTAACTGAAGGGACATCTACACACACACACACACACACACACACACACACACACACACACTCATGGACCTTTTTCCTAGCCTCCTGGCCCTTCCGGTGTCTGCTTCTCCACAGTCCTTCTCCATGTGACACAGAGGCCGTGACATTTGGTGGCCGTGGCCTACATAGAAGGTTCATTCGTGGACTTGCTCAATATTTCCGCAGAGTCCTACTGCGTGCCCAGGCCCTGGGGAGCCCAGAGGTCTCAAGATGAATCAGCTATATCCCAGTGTGGAGAGGAACTTGGAGACACAGACTTCCCAGTACTGCACTAACCAGCTCTCCTAAAGGATTGGTCAAGGGCTCAGACACAGAAGAGGCACTGTTCAGGACGGCCTATCCCAGGGCCTAATCCCAAAACCCAAAACCCAACAAAGTGAGGATATTTGACCTACATCAAAGGAATGTTACCAGCTAGTATGAGGAGGGGACTTTCAGGGGACCCAAAACCATTCATGAGAGAGAGTAATAGGAGTGAGGATGGCCTGGGAAGGATGAATAGGGCCAATTTAGAAAGAACTATGCTTACTTTTTGTACAGGAAAAGGCGACGGTTCAGAAAGCTTTCAAACAAGAATTTCACTGAACTGAATAAGTGTTTCAGAAAGAGAAGTTATCTATGTGAAGTGAAGAAAGCGGGGAAACGGGATACTTGATTACTTGTCAAAAATAAGACACAACCCCTAGCTGGTGTTGCTCATTGGATAGAGCATTGGCCTGAGGACTGAAGGGTCCTGGGTTCAGATCTGGCCAAGGGCATATCCCCAGGTTGTGGGCTCTATCCCTAGTAGGAAAAGTGCAGGAAGCAGCCAATAAATGATTCTCTCTCATCATTGGTATCTCTCTCTCTCTCTCTCTCTTTCCTCTTCTCTCTCTCTCTCTCTCTCTCTCTCTCTCTCTCTCTCTCTCTCTCTCTCCCCCTTTCTCTTTGAATCAATAAAAATATATATTTTTTAAAAGACACGATTTATTTACTTAACATGTTTCTTCTGTCACGTGCCTACCCCCTCCACTCCCCAACTACCCCATAGCTATTATTAAGGCATTACAAATTCCTAACCTCAAAATAATTTGGAAGTGTAGCTTCCTGGAGCATCAGGGGTGCAATCTGGAAAAGCAGCAGAAGGACAGACCTCATCTCTACCTGAGGTCATGGCCTGTATAGTTTTGTGTGTGTTTTAAACTATTGTTATTTTTAAAAGTTGCCATCACCGACAAGCACAGATTAGGTGGAAATTCTTTAAAATGAACAACTGTTTAAAGATAGTAGAGATTTAGCAACTGGCGATTAAAGTGTAAACAATAAAAAACATAGATTCCCTTTTAAAACAAAGAAGTGAATGTCTGCTTCGTCGCTACAGTGCTTAGGAACTGCACGTGGCTGGGAAAGATGGCAAGGCTGCATGTGCTGCTGCCGTTCACCTGGGGCGGTTGCATGAAAGGTCTACACGTCAGCAAGTGAGAGCAGCCGCTGTTATGTGTGTACCTCCCACAAAAGTGGACGCGGCATTTTCTAAAGCTATGCTGAAGTCTTGTAACACCATCCCAGTTTGGACAGTGCTGAAAAATGGCAATTAATGTGACCACCCCGTTCACTACGTTTGCTGATGTTCCAACCATGTAGCACAGGCAGAAGGTGTACTCTTTTGGGTTTTGAAATAGATTGCTTTTCTTCTCTGTAGGAATACTAATGGCGACGGACTGAAAACCCTCTTACAAATAACACTCAGCTTGCAAGCAGATTCACTGTGAGATCACAAGCCAGATTCAGGAGATGCGTTTGCTGTAGGTTTTTCCAGGAGCCAATGAATGACATTCCAGGAACTCTAACGTGGACACAGGACACATCAAGTGAGGAACTGGATGGTGGAAACAGACCAGGAACCCCATGATTTCACAAAGTTGTGTTAAAACTGTGTCACTTCTCTAGGTCTTCTCTAGCTTCAAATCAGATAAAAATTTAAGGGGCTTTAACATATGAATTTAAGAATCGGGTGCGTATCATAAAACTGCCTGCTGGGTTAAGGCATTCGGGAAGAAACAAACAAACAAAAAGCAATTCTATATTTGAACTTACACCTTGGGAATTTGCTAAAGAAAGAGTGGTTTTAATCACACATTTTTACAAACCACACACAAACATGGGAAAGTTTTTTAACAATTTGAGCATATTTGCATATAGGGAAAATTAGACAGATAAAATTTAAAACTCCTCCTGTCCCAGTTCTTCCAACTGGACAGTGGGGCTGGAGGGAGAACTGGAGGCCTTGTTCGGTCCCTTAAAAGTGCCCGTCTTTGCAAATGGGACTGAAATAGCTTTGCCTCAATTGTCAGGAGGAAATGAGAAGACACCGGACTCAGAGATCATATCTCCTTCTACATTGCAGTTCTAATGACATGACTGTCCTGAACTCTCTTTAAAGTCTTCCTCCCATTATCCACCACAACTCTTTGAAAATCAGATAATTTGATGAAGTTACGCTTCAGGAAGAAAAGGCTTTTAAAAACTAAAGACTTGATGCTTTGCCACCCAGCATGTGCTTGATGAATGGCAGCTTAATCTATTAATATATATATAAAAGCCAAAGTGACCATTCCAACTGGTCGCTATGACAATGCACTGACCACCAGGGGGCAGACGCTCAGTGCAGGAGCTGCCCTCTGGTGGCCAATGAGCTCCCACAGCCAAACTCCCTGGCCAGCCTACTTGCCGCAGACCCTCCCTCCACTCCTACCCCCCTCACCAGTTCGGATTGGCCCCGATTGCCAGCCAGGCCAAGGGACCCCACCCGTGCATGTTTGGTGCACCAGGCCTCTAGTTAATGATAAAGACAAACAAGGAAGAGAGAGCTGCCCCTCTAAGTCTCCAGCCACAAAAATCCTATCTCTACACATGTGCCCTGAGAAGTCCCCTCCCCTTTGCCAACTCTGGAAATGACATTGCGAGATTTTCACGCCTACTGGAGACATTCCTGCTCAAGTACTTCACCCCAACCAGGAGAGCAGCTGGCACATAGCAAATGTTCACTAAACA